CTGTGGCAGAAGATGTAAGGCGGGGCCTCTCATATGATGCACACCTGCACACTTGCTAGCCTGTTCCACTCTTTGTTTTCCGAATGCCAGGAACTATTCTTGCCTCGCTTCTGAAGCAAGATGCTCGGCTCGGCTGTGCTACCAAGCAAGCATCCTCGCGATTGAGAAACGGCCTCTGTATGAACATGCTGCCATGACATCTGAGTCCCACTATGATGACATTCAACAGGTGAGTTAACCACAGCTCAATGTTGGTATTAGTTACATGTTTCTTTCCAGTTACAAACCATGAAGACTGGATGTGAATGCTTAGGTTAGATACACAGGTCCTGTGTATCACTCTACTGGACAGCTTTAGACACTAAGAGGACTGTGTGTCAATGCTGTTTTTCTTCTGTTAAACTGAATGATCATACTCTTTAGATATGAAATACTATAATCAGTGTCTTTCTACCTGATTGTAATAACTCACAACAAGAGCCAGTGAAGCATTTGTGTACTACTCTGGATGTTTAGTGATTAAACTTAGTCCTTCTTCATCCACAAGATTTCCACTGAGGCAGAGACTCTGGGTGTTTCTCAATCGCGAGTAAAGCTGCTTCAGAGCCACTATTTCAAGCATACTACGTCATCGAGTGCCGCCGAAGTACTGTTCCAATCTCCAGCATACTTGGAAATCTACCGAGCCCGGCGTACTCCGTTTGGAGAAATATCGAGGCTGCACATGAGTAGACTCCGCGGTCTTAAAATCCCCACAATGCTTTGCGCACGGACCAATTTCCCCAAATCTGTGTCGGAAGATGTAAGGCGGGGCCTCTCATATGACGCACACCTGCACACTTGCTAGCGTGTTCCACACTTCGTTTTCCGAATGCCAGGAAGTATTCTTGACTCGCTTCTGAAGCAAGATGCTCGGCAGACATGTGCTACCAAGCAAGTGTACTCGCGATTGAGAAACACCCACGGTGTTTGCAGAGGGCGCACAACATCTTCAAAGACACCTCTCATCCTGCAAACTATCTGTTCGTCCTCCTACCCTCGGGAGGCGCCTCAGGAGCCTACAGTCCAAGACCAGCAGGTTCAGGGTCAGCTTCTTCCCCAGGGCTGTTACCCTGTTGAACTCTGCCCGCTGATAGACTCAAGCCCATACCCACCACCCACCTGTTTATATATTTTACTGTCAATGCCGTTTACACTGTATAGATTAATCTGTTTATAGCCTATTTATAATTATTCTATTTATAATAATTCCATGTATAATTATTCTTATTATGTAAGGCAAGGCAAGGCAAGGCAAGTTTATTTATATAGCACCTTTCAACACAAGGTAATTCAAAGTGCTTTACAAAAATGGAAGACATTTTAAAAATGGCATTTAAAATCAGTCATTAAAAAGAAAAGATAATAAAATAAACATTAAAAGAAAAAATACATGGATAAAAGTTAAAAGTTACAGTGCAGTTTAAGATGTGAATAGTTTAATTAAAAGCAGCGGCAAAAAGAAAAGTCTTCAGCCTGGATTTAAAAGTAGTAAGAGTTGCAGCGGACCTGCAGGTTTCTGGGAGTTTGTTCCAGATATTTGGAGCATAATAACTGAATGCTGCTTTACCATGTTTAGTTCTGACTCTGGGGACAGAAAGCTGACCAGTCCCTGAAGACCTGAGAGTTCTGGATGGTTCATAATTTAGCAGTAGGTCAGACATGTATTTTGGGCCTAAACCATTCAAAGCTTTATAAACCAGCAACAATATTTTGAAATCTATTCTTTGACACACAGGAAGCCAGTGTAAGGACTTCAGAACAGGAGTGATGTGATCCACTTTCTTAGTGTTAGTGAGGACTCGAGCAGCGGCGTTCTGAATTAGCTGCAGCTTTCTAATAGTTTTTTTAGTGAGGCCTGTAAAGACACCATTGCAGTAGTCGAGTCTACTGAAGATAAAAGCATGGACAAGTTTTTCCAAATCCTGCTGTGACATTAGCCCTTTAATCCTAGATATGTTCTTTAGGTGATAGTAGGCTGATTTAGTAACTGTTTTAATGTGACTGTTGAAACTCAGGTCAGAGTCCATGACTACACCTAGATTTCTGGCTTTATCTGTTGTTTTGAACATTGCAGACTGAAGCTCAGCGCTAACTTTTATACGTTCTGCCTTGGCTCCAAAAACCATTACCTCAGTTTTATCTTTGTTTAATTGGAGAAAGTTCTGACACATCCAGTCATTGATTTGTTCAATGCACTTACTCAGTGTTTGAATTGGAGCATAATCTCCTGGTGAAATTGTTACGTAAAGTTGTGTGTCATCCGCATAGCTATGGTAACTTATTTTGTTGTTTTTCATTATCTGAGCCAGTGGTAGCATGTAGATGTTAAAGAGAAGAGGCCCCAAGATGGAGCCTTGAGGTACCCCACATGTCATATTTGTCAACTCAGATGTGTATTTACCTATAGAAACAAAGTTTTTTCTGTCCTTTAAGTAGGACTCAAACCAATTTAGAACTGTTGCCGAAAGTCCCACCCAGTTTTCTAGTCGGTCTAGTAATATGTTGTGGTCAACAGTGTCAAACGCAGCACTGAGATCTAATAATACTAACACTGAAGTTCTGCCACTGTCTGTGTTTAAGTGGATGTCATTGAAGACCTTTACAAGAGCAGTCTCAGTGCTGTGGTTTGGACGAAATCCTGACTGGAACACATCCAAACAGTTATTTAAATGCAAGAAGTTACTCAACTGTTGAAATACAACTTTTTCAATGATTTTACCTAGAAATGGCAGGTTTGATATTGGCCTGTAATTGTTCATTACTGAGGCATCTAGATTATTCTTTTTTAAGAGCGGTTTAATGACTGCAGTTTTCAGGGCCTCTGGAAAAATACCTGAGTGAAGAGATGTGTTTACTATATGAAGTAGATCTGAGGCCATGCAAGGAAAAACATCTTTGAAAAATCCTGTTGGAATAATATCAAGGCAGCAGGAGGAGGATTTCAGAAGTTGAATAATGTCCTCTAAGTTTTTACCATTAATCTGATGGAATTGTGTCATGGTGTTTGAATTGATATTAGGTGGACATAGGGACAAAACATTTGCTGTACCTGATGTAGAGGCACTGACTGCTTGTCTAATTTTCTGAATTTTGTCAGTGAAGAAGGAGGCAAAATCATTGCACGCCCTGGTGGATAGAGATTCAGAGGCTACTGACACTGGGGGGTTAGTTAGTCTGTCGACGGTAGCAAACAAGGCATGTGCGTTGTTTTTGTTTTTGGTAATGATGTCAGAGAAGAAAGACTGTCGTGCGTTTTTCAATTCCAAATTATAAAGGCCAAGTCTCTCTTTATAGATTTCAAAGTGAACCTGGAGATTTGTTTTTCGCCACCTACGTTCAGCTTTTCGACACTCTCTTTTTTCTGTTCTCACGGTCATGGCCTTTCTCCATGGAGATATTTTCTTGCTAATCACTTCCTTTACCTTAGTTGGAGCAATGGTATCTATAACATTTTTAATTTTTGAATTAAAATGATCTACTAGCTCATTTACTGAGATGTTAGCAGGGGCAAGTGTGGATGAAAAATTATGAGTAAACATTTCCCTAGTATTTTCTGTTAAATATCGCTTTGTGGTTACCTCTTTCTGAACATTTTTGTGAACAGAAATAGAGCTCTCAAAGAAAACACAGGAATGATCAGAGAGTGCAACATCAGTCACCACAACCTTTGAGATATTCAGACCCTTTGAGATAATTAAGTCCAGAGTGTGCCCCTTATTGTGCGTGGGCTCCGCCACATGCTGAGTCAGTCCATAGTTATCAAGAACACAAAACAGTTCTTTAGCCCCTCTGTCCTGGGGGTTGTCAACATGGATGTTAAAATCACCAACAATGACTAAACGGTCAAAGTCAATACACACTATAGACAGCAGTTCAGTAAAATCATCAAAAAAGCTTGCACAGTATTTGGGTGGTCTATAGATATTTAGGAACAGAGCTCGAGAGGAGCATTTCAGCTGAAGGGCCACATATTCAAAAGAAGCAAAGTCCCCATAAGATGTCTTCCTGCATTGAATGGAATCATTGAACAAAATAGACTCCTGCACTGCTATTTTGCACTTCTGGTCAGATGCCAAAACTTACATTTCGTCACTAGTACATGTACTACGTAATGACAATAAAGTTGAATCTGAATCTGAATCTGAATCTGAACATATATGAAAAATATATTTATTAACAAAAGTTTAACGTAAACCAAAAAAACTAACACAAAGGAAAAGCAAAAAGGCTAAGCGATGTGGCTGCTCCGCGGTCAGGTCCTCTGCGGGGGAGAGAGATCGAGAGTCTGCTCAGGCCTTTAAATCCTCTGGTGCCAGCAGACAGGTGTCCTCAATCAGCGCTGACACAACAGAGGGAGAACATTAAAGGGCCATACACACACACCACAGGAGACAGTAAAGCAGGGGTCGTCACAGTGTGTGTGTGTGTGTGTGTGTGTGTGTGTGTGTGTGTGTGTGTGTGTGTGTGTGTGGTGTGTGTGTGTGTGTGTGTGTGTGTGTGTGTGTGTGTGTGTGTGTGTGTGTGTGTGTGTGTGTGTGTGTGTGTGTGTGTGTGTGTGTGTGTGTGTGTGTGTGTGTGTGTGCAAACAAAAATACTTTTCACAACAGTCCGTCCGTGCCACTGTGCCATGTTAAATGCTTCTAAAGGGTTGTGTGTGAGTGTGTGTGATGTTTTCCATCTGCAGGATGAACATAATACACTGATACCCATTCATTTCCTATGGCTGTCAATTCTGACCGAAAGCATCATGGGTGTTTCACTGTTGATTAAATCACAAATAAATCAATGCAAGTGGTGATCGTCAATTGTATATGTTCAGAGGCCTAGTGTGGAGGATAACATAAGGTCTTAAGGCAATTGGATGAAAAACACAATATTTATGATCAAAAACAAAGTCACTCAGTCACTTTTGACCCGAAATGCAAGAGAAGGGTTAAGTAAACATTTGATAAGCGTGATTTTTGTGAAATTATAGTCTTTATTGTAAGTGGAAACATTCAAAAACATTTGGCACGTTTACAAAACAGTAAAAATTCACATCACTAGCTTAATGTATCTAAGAATATAAATATTTCTATTATACATCTTAATAGAAATATTACAATGACAGCATAAACAATAAAAACTAAAATAAGCTACAAGTTAGGTCACTTTATCAAATTCATAACAGTCATACTCTCAACTTTCCAAAGAGTTTGTAAAGATTGTAAAGATGTATCAGGATCTGAAGTTGTCTTACTGGACTGTAAGAAAACTACACATACTACAACATTAAATAATCCATCATTAAAACAAATATACCTATTAATATGTTTGTAATTATTGGGATAATTATGCGTACCATGATCATTGCCATAAGCCTCATCATGGTGACCAACAAATATACGGAACATAAACTAACTACACAGTTTGTATAGGAGAATAAACAGATCAGGGTCAAACAAGTCATCAGCCTTTAGTTTAGATAAGGGGGTCATGGTTATGGGCTGGGGGGGTCAAGGTTAGCTTTGTTCCTGGCCCAGATACGTTTAAAAGAGTTACCTTGCCAAGAGGGGGTGCTAATAATGTTGGACATGTGCTAATGCTTGACATTTAAACAGATTTAGAAGTCTACCATAGAAAATAAAGCACCTCATTTCACATGTTTTATTGTTTAATCTCCTAACTGCTCTTCTATTCTGCTCCATATCGGACATCAATCTCCTTGGGAGTGTCTGATTGGCCCTCCATGATTTGTTGGACTTGGGTGATCACCTTTTCGTGGAACACAATGTCCAGGTGGGCCAGCCCTCGGTACTCGGTCACATGCACAGGCTGCTCCTGCTGCTCCGCCCACTGTTTGCAAAGGCTCATGCTAAAGCTGTCCACCGTGTCGTCCCCATCGGCGTAGACAAAGTCCACCGGGTCCTTGTTTGGAAACTCCTCGTCGTATATGTATGTCACGGGAGTTGGAAGGCCCACGCTGTACATACACCACACCTCGACAGCAGGAGGGTAGAGGTCTCCAGTGAGGTTCTTGGTGTCCTCCCACATGTGCCTGCAACCAACAAGAAGATTATGGGGTTGTAAAATCGAATAGATACAATGGATCATATGACTACTTGTGAAAAGGGTCTTTAGTATTGTTTAATCGGCTTTCAATGATTTAATCATTGGGGGAAATGGCCAAAATGATGTGTGTAAAGTGTAGCAAGGGGGATATCCACTTTATTGATAACGGATATCCACACCAAAACTTTCTCTTCCTTTTGCCGGTCATTGTTTACAATTCGATCTGCAACTCAAGAATGGAATTTGAATTGAGGGACACAAATTCAGCTAATTTATAAAAACAGATATCTTCATATGAATGCAGATAAATAAATAAGAAACGCTTAGTTGGATTGGACAGCAATCAGGTTCCGACCCTCACAAAACAGTGATTGGTCGATGTGTTGCCTTTCTTTGAAGATTAATATTCGTAAAACTGTTCAATATAAATCATTAAGGTTGATTTGCATTGTTTATACTGCCCCCCTGTGTTCGTTTGTGGTACCTAGGATGTGTGCATGTAATAGGGAATTTCTTCAGTTGACGTCACGACATGCAGCCGACTCCCGGGGTGTTTCTCAATCGCGAGTACGCTTGCTTGGTAGCACATGTCTGCCGAGCATCTTGCTTCCGAAGCGAGCCAAGAATACTTCCTGACATTTGGAAAACAAAGAGTGGAACAGGCTAGCAAGTGTGCAGGTGTGCGTCATATGAGAGGCCCCGCCTTACATTTTCCGTCACAGATTTGGGGAAATTGGTCCGTGCGCAAAGCATTGTGGGGATTTTAAGACCGCGGAGTCTACTCATGTGCAGCCTCGATATTTCTCCAAACGGAGTACGCCGGGCTCGGTAGATTTCCAAGTATGCTGGAGATTGGAACAGTCCTTCGGCGGCACTCGATGACGTAGTATGCTTGAAATAGTGGCTCTGGAGCAGCTTTACTCGCGATTGAGAAACACCCCCGGTGCTGCAGAGTTCCTTTCTAGAGAGACTCATGGGACCTTATTTCGGAAAAAGTTTGTATTGAAGTCAATGGAGAGAGAAAGATTATCTTTCGATCCCGTTTGAATTGTGCCACGAATTACACATATGATGTTTGTCAATCTTAAATAATAATTTCCATGTCAAAAAAGTCACAGTTTGTCGTAAAACTGTTGAAATATAAGACTATGAAAAATACGCAACTAGAAAGACAACAAATCCCAGAATCCCGATCCCGCATGCTGGCTCTTACGGAACCGACTAACTCCCCTTGTGTGTATGTACAGCTCTCAACATGCCCAGACTTGTAGTGATTTTCACCTCTTTTAATACTTTTCGCCTCATTCTGAAAGAAAGAGGTGAAATGTGCGAACGTGACGGCCGTCTTGGTGTGTGGTGCGAGACGGGAGATGTAGTTCATTGAGCGGTTTCACACAAAAAAAGTGTTACTTCACAGTTTTACGACACATTTGTATTTTTTTGACTTGTAAAATTATCTTTTAAATTGACAAACATCATATGTGTAATTCGTGGCACAATTCAAACGGGATCGAAATATAATCTTTCTCTCTCCATTGACTTCAATGCATAACTTTTCCGAAATAAGGTCCCATGCATAGACTGTGGGTGTTTCTCAATCGCGAGTACGCTTGCTTGGTAGCACATGTCTGCCGAGCATCTTGCTTCAGAAGCGAGGCAAGAATACTTCCTGGCATTCGGAAAACAAAGGGTGTTTCTCAATCGCGAGTAAAGCTGCTTCCGAGCCACTATTTCAAGCATACTACGTCATCTAGTGCCGCCGAAGTACTGTTCCAATCTCCAGTATACTTGGAAATCTACCGAGCCCGGCGTACTCCGTTTGGAGAAATATCGAGGCTGCACATGAGTAGACTTTGCGGTCTTAAAATCCCCACAATGCTTTGCGCACGGACCAATTTCCCCAAATCTGTGGCGGAAGATGTAAGGCGGGGCCTCTCATATGACGCACACCTGCACACTTGCTAGCCTGTTCCACTCTTTGTTTTCCGAATGGCAGGAAGTATTCTTGACTCGCTTCTGAAGCAAGATGCTCGGCAGACATGTGCTACCAAGCAAGCGTACTCGCGATTGAGAAACACCCAAAGAGTGGAACAGGCTAGCAAGTGTGCAGGTGTGCGTCATATGAGAGGCCCCGCCTTACATTTTCCGTCACAGATTTGGGGAAATTGGTCCGTGCGCAAAGCATTGTGGGGATTTTAAGACCGCGGAGTCTACTCATGTGCAGCCTCGATATTTCTCCAAACGGAGTACGCCGGGCTCGGTAGATTTCCAAGTATGCTGGAGATTGGAACAGTACTTCGGCGGCACTCGATGACGTAGTATGCTTGAAATAGTGGCTCTGGAGCAGCTTTACTCGCGATTGAGAAACACCCTGTGGCTGCGTTTCACTTCGGTTAAATGGATTCCTTGCGTCCCTCACTTGCGTCGTTTCCCTGCGACTAGCCCCTCCCACCAGGGAAGCATGGAGAGACGCAAGGAAACCACGAGAAGCAGGGAAATGAGTTTTAAGAGCAATGGGACGTCCTTTCCTCCGGAGCGTCACGTGAAGCGACGTCCGTTTGTGATGACGCTGCACAGCTGATCGTCTGACAGCAGCTCTGTCCCCGTTATTTTCACAAACACCCCCGCCTCTGTTAGTACACATTTACTGACACAAACATTTGTATCATCTGTTGTGAGACCCAAATAAATCAAATCAAATAAGAACTCATTCTCAAAAAAGATAAACGCCATTCTTAAAATGTATAAACGAACAATAGTTAGATTAATATTGATTAGAGTGCACAATAGAAATAAAATAATTGAGAGAAGAAAAAGAGATATGTTATCTATCAAAAGTTTTTCCCTCTCTGTTTTGTACATGTTGCAGTGTAATACGATGTGTTCCACATTTTCTTTCACTCCACACCCCCTGCATTCTTCAACTTCGCTTTTTACCATTATAAACATTGTGCCGTTTAATCCTGTATGATCCAATCTGAGTTATAGTGATGATGATCTCCTCCCGTCTGTTCCTTTCTGTATAGATCTTTATTATGACTGATTTCTGTAACTTGTGGTATCTCCTCCCTTTCTGATCTTCCTCCCACCTTTTCTGCCATATTTCCATACCCTTCTTCTTAATTATTGCTTTTCCTTCTCCTTTCCCAAGTGAAACTGGTATTGCTATTTCCTTCTGTAATGCATCTTTTGCTAATTTATCAGCATGCTCATTCCCTTGAACCCCCTCATGTGCAGGCACCCAGCATAACTGCACATCTATTCCCCTTCTCTGAAGTCTCAGTAAGCAATGGTTAAGTTCAATCATGAAATCTTCTCTAACAGTTATTGTCGACTGTATGCTTTCCAAAGCAGATAGTGAGTCTGTGCATATCACCCTATCAGGTCTCTTCAACCTATTGTAGCCCAATAATTGCTGCGAGTATTTCTGCTGTATAAACTGATAAGTTATGTGACACTCGTTTTGAGATTGATATTTTGAATTCTGGTATATACACGCCTATCCCCACGCATTCTTGCTTCTTAGATCCATCTGTATACATTTTGAGGTAATTGTAATACTTTTCATTCAGGTACATACTCGTTTTAATTCCCACTTCATTTATTTGCCACTCTTTTTTCCTTTCTATGATACTCACATCTATGTTAGCTTCTGGGGAAAGCCATGGGGGAACACGGCTAAATGGGCTTGCTTTGGCAAACTTTATGGTCTCCACTCCATATGCCCTCGTTCTCTCCTTACTTGTCCAGCCAAACCCACGCCCCTGGAACTTTGTATATTCCCAGCAATCCTGTAGTATTCTGTTTGTGATATTTTCCTCTCCACTTCCTTGCAGCCTGACCCAGTAGGCCTATGACAGAGCAAGTTTCTCTCTTCATGCACAAATGTGTTTAATCGTTAATGTCAGATATGTACTAAGTAAATACATTTGTTCCTGCTCAAGATTAGATTCAACTTTATTGTTATTGCACAGATTACAGGTACTGAGACAACGAAATGCAGTTTAGCTTCTAACCAGGAGTGCAACAAGCAGTAAAGTGAAAAGTAATGTACACAATCTACAGAATAAAATATAGAATGAATTGAATGATGAAAAAACAGTGAGGGGTATGAATACACTAGATATACACAGTAGCCTAGCCTAGTATGAACAGTGTGTTGTATGAATATGCTAAGATATATAAAGTATGACAACGGTAAGCAGTGCAAGTATAGTATAAAATATATAGATATTAATTTCATGATGATAAACATTGTGGAACAATGATGAAAAATGTGAATGGAAGTGGCGACGTAAAACTGACACAAAACAACAACACACTTTTGCCGAGCCAATGGAGAGTTTCATCAGCAGCACGGGGTAAAAACCACCAATGAGCGCTCAGCTCGAGATACCAGCGAGTCGTTTCCCATCAAGCATTTCGCTTCCGCAGCCCGTGGAGAGAAACTGCGCCGCCTCGCCGCGCCTCGCTCTCAAGTCTGCGGGCGTCTTTGTCCCGCGAGATTTCAACGTCTCATGTAGGCGAGCCTCCTGAGCAAGTCGGACAAAATGACTAACCATCATGCAACGCACTAGCAAGACGTTGATCGCAATTGCGCAGGTCTGCGCAGGTCTCGCTTGTCTCAAACAAGCCTACTATGTTTAGGCTTATTGCATTATTAATGTTGGCGTGTTTATTGCACTTACATTTAGAGTAAGCTGTTGTTTTCATATGCCTTTGATGGTAAAATGGTGAATTGTATTTGTTTGGTTAAATGGGTTTAGTTAGTAGCATTACATACAGATGCTGTGTACATGTATGAGTGTATGTATGCGACGCAGACTAATTGAATTAATGTATGTATATCAGTTATATATGTACTAATGTATGCTTTATTTCTGTATTGTATTTCTAGTTTCACAATGAGAATCGTACAGTAAACATCAAGAAAAGCTAAAGCCTTGTGATTATTGGAGGATTCAAGTTGTTAGCTACCTGTCTAGCTTTGCATGGCCGCACATTGCGAGGGCAGAACAGTCGATACTCCTGGCACATTTCAAACGGACACCAGAATGCTTCCAATACCAAAATTGCATTCCTGTTGCTTACAGATTCCAGATTCATATGTCGATCACCATTTAGTAATATAATGATTACACTTTGTATATAATTACCCCCTGATCTGCAGCTCCTCACATCCCTATATAACTTTGTATAGGGACCTTAATGAGCCGGAGCCGAGGTGCTATTAAGCCCAGCTGCCCGGAGTCACACGGCGGCCCCTGTCTCTCTCCAAAGCGGCTGCAGAAGGACGAACTTGGCGATCCTCTCCCCTCGACCACCTATCTCAGCATTTACCACAATAAATGTGCCGTGGTTTTGTAAACTCGTGTATGTCTCCTTGTCTTTCCGTTGTGGCCTACGAGCCGGTCATAACAAAGAGTAAGTTATTTTTACCTGTAATAAACTACTACTGTTTGATGAGAAATCAAATCATGGTTTGCTATATATGAATGATAAGTTATAGGAGCAAATAATTCAGGGAAGAAAGGATAGGCCTACTAAGTATTTCCATTAAACTTTATTTTTAGAAATGTACAAAATGAATATAAATATACATATATACACGGTATATCATCAATTCCTCCCCGTTGTCGGCATCTTGCCTATCGCAGCCGGAGCTTTTTAGGACGATGCATCAGTGTGGTAGTCCCGTCCCCGTCATGTATTGTCCGGCAGGATCTGGCTGGACGAAATCAAATGCAAATCACAAAATATTAGAGAAACTTAGTTGTTTTAGATTCGTTAGTAGTAGTTGTGGTAGGAGTGTGGATCTATCTAATCCATCTATCTTATCAACACAGTAAGCTTGCCAGCTAATATGCTAACCTAGCTTTCTTGTTTACTTTGGTAGCTAACACGATATGAACGCTAGCTCGGAGGAACGGCAACTATAATGTAGTGTAATAAAACTACTATGAACAAAAGCTAGTGGTTCATATTAGGCTAGCAATAACGTGTTTATAATTGCAATCTTATACGGGTAGTCTGCTACGTTCGGTCATTCATTGTAACTGGCATGAATACATTGTTTTCCGCTAGCATGTATAGCTAGCCTCGTTAGCTATACATGCAGTATGTACATGTACTGTCACAATGTACGGTAAATCACCCGGAGTATACTGTATGAGTATTCCGTGTGTGACTGCAGACATTCTTCTGCCATGACAAACATGTAAGGCCATCTGCTGACATTGTAGTTGATATATTTAAACGCTAGCAACGTCGTTAGCCCAGTAAGTTGGGCTTGTTTAGTGTAATAAAACCACTATGAACAAAAGCTAGTGATTCATATTAGGCTAGCAAGAACGTGTTTACAATTGCAATCTTATACGGGTAGTCTGCTACATTCATTGTAGCTGGCATAACAAAAATGTTTACCCGAGCAAACCCATGTCTAGCTCCGTTGGTTAGCTCGGTAGCATAAACGCTACGCCAGCTATAATGTAATTACGTTTCGCGACTGACCGTACGGCAAATCACCCAGAGTATACTGTCTATGAGTATTTCGTGTGTGAATTCAGACATTCTCCTGCTATGAGATACATGTATGTAAGGCCATCTGCTGATATTAGAGTTGATATATGGAAACGCTAGCAACTTAGTTAGCACAGTTAGCACTGTGTCAATGGCTTAGCAGTCCGACACAGTTTACACATTTAAACAGTCTTGTTTGATAAATACACAAATAACAATGCAAACTTACAGGTTGTGTACCCGAATCTTCCCCTGCTCCAAACGGTCCAAACAAACTAGGAATAGCATCGTCCTTCAGTTTCAATTGCTGTGCATATCCGGCCTCAAACTGGGCAATGTTTTGGAAGCTTTTGTCTGTGAAATGCCGCGCACACAGTAACGTTCTTCGAACCTCTGAAGGAACAGTGTTAAAAAGAAATGTCAACCACTGACTTCGTCGTGGTTCTTCCGTCGGTAGGACAAACAGCTCAGATTTCTCCTCACATTTCAGGAAACAGGTCCTTGGCATTGGCATGACTGGATCGATTGTGAACTGAACCAGAGCTTCCAACAGTAAATGTTAGGCTGGCAGAGGGTGCGGCCAGCGTTGCTGGGTGTGGCCATAGCTCTTCCGGATTGGTCCATTTTGTTCCGGGTACCGCATGACATCATGCGGTACCCGGAAGAATCAAATGGACAGTGACGTATCTCCAACGAGGCGTTTTGGGGAGGTATTTTCTGTGTTAGAGTTTTACTCGCTACAGGGTGTACTTTGAGGGTTTTGACTCTGCACACCGTTTACATGCATAAAAACCTTCATAACACACAAGGGGACGGGTAATAACCGGAAAAGCATGACATGGGAGCTTTAAGCAGAGTTAGCATTACCCTCTTTTAGCATTGCAGTACCAGGATGGATAGAAGGGTTGGGTTTTGAAAACGATAAATATCTTTCTTAAACTTGAGAAGATAACATTTCTTTAAGAAGCAGAGGTATATTATTTATTCATATCGTTTTTGTATTCAATGTTATGCACTGTTAGTTAATGTTAATTATTTTCCAATACATTTTAATAATTGATTTCATTTATTTGTATTTTATTTATTTTTACTTTGTTGTCTTTTCCTATATGGAATCTATGTCATTTTGGATTCAACTGGGGAGGGGATAAGTGAGGTGTTAAGAGGGGAAGTTCTGACAAGGGTGGAAATGTCAAATGGAAGGAAAAACTGTTTTCAATTGTAACACTGTGTGTTTGTATCTGTACTTCAATAAAATAATATAATATAAAAAATAAATAAATGTATAAATATATAATAATCCTTTTTTTAAATTGTCACTTTCTTTTCTGATTGCCTTGATGAGCCTATAATTATTTTTATTTATTTTTGACAAAGACATAGTCCTTTGTTTCTGGGATAAAGTCATAGTCATTCAGCATTAAAACTGAACAAGAACTTAAAATAGCTTATCAATGATCAAAGAAATCTATGTAAAAGAGACCAAAACCACCACTGAGATAACTATTCGACTCAGAGGGGCAGCCCTGATTAGATTAAATCTGTAAATTACCAGCCGTCCTCATAGTTGATGTCTGTGAAGAGGCGCTGGTAGTCCTGGTTGGTGTAGTTGATGGTGGGTGTGGAGATGAACACGTGGTCGCTTGGCCAGGCTTTGGTGGGCAGAATCCAGGGATTAGTGGGCTTCATCCTCTGCTCCTCGCGGATCTTGATGTTGGAAATCATCGGGATGCCGTCATTTTCTCCTGCAACAAGTCAGGAATAGGAGAGGTTTTAGTAATAAAATATGAACGTTTTATAAGAAAACATTTCTGATAGCATTGTCTTATTTATGGCAGTATATAGCGTTTGTATTCTATTGTAAGTGATTTGTGATGTAGCAAGTCTGTCATCATCTTTTTGGGCGGTAGTAAGTCAGTCTTTAGGTATTTGAATTTCCCCTTGTTGAAATACGTGGCTTCCTCTCATGATACAGAAATGTTATCATTATTGAATAATATTTAATCAGGGCATATACATGTTAACATTTCAACCTATGACTTGTTCATTTTAGACTGCTGACTTCCTGTATCTTATTAGCAACAGATCAACAGTGAAAGTAAATAACCATCTAATCTGACGTAGAGTACATAGAAATGTTTCAATATAGAAAGGTGTATCGAAACTGACCCTCTCATAGCCCATGTTTGTGTTTATTTTTTTCAAGCTGGTTCAAACCAGCTCTCTTCGGAAATCACAAAAACACAAAACTGCTACTCTGTGTTTCTCTCTGAATAATGTGTAGCAACTTTGGGCCAAGCGCTCATTTCACTGCAGACTTGTTCCGAGGTGTTTTTGAAAAGTGGTGAAGATATACAGGGTCTGAAGATTTTAAAATCGATTTCAACAAATACAATTTAAAGCAATGTAATGGGGGATCAGTTTAAGGTCAGAGTGGATAATAATGATATTGGTAAAAAACAAGAAACTACAGGTATGTCACAAAGTTTATTGTAGATTTCCAAACTGGCCATTACCTGACGACAGGGCTCTGAGTATTTTGACAACGCCCCCCCATGGAGCTGCCAGGGAAATGAAGCCCCTGATGTATTTGTCCTTCCAGGCCTGAGGCTGGTGGTTGAGGAAGTAGAGGACGTAGTGGCAGCCCATGCTGTGTGCCAGCAGGAACACAGGCTTCTGGTACTCCTCGTACATCTCCTCCACCAGTTCGTGCAGCTTCGACAAATACTCTGCGTTCTCATCTGTTGGAGGAGGGGACATCATGTGTTTTTCTTTGTTATCATGCGTGATGATGATCAATTACTATCCTTGATCTCATTATTATTATCAGTATAACTTAAAATTGGGTATTGTGACGGTTCTATCAATACCGATACTGCTTATTGTTGCTCTTATCGATATCATGATGAAAGTGGGCACGTGTCCATCTTACACCATCATCAGAGGGCAGGGTTTCTCAATGACTGTAGTTAACTATGAAAGGACCTCTCACACCTATATGCTTCTGCAGCAACGCGGACAGCAAGAACTGTATAACTCTTTAAGCAGCAAAAAAAAAATGTTGGTTCAAACCGCTGTCCACAGAGTGGTGATCTGCAGAGCTGTGCAGAGCAGACACACCAATGCACATGTATACATGTTGCAAGTTCAAAGTTAGGCTAACTTACCTAGCAAGTAGTTAGCGATGCTATGCTTTAGTAGAGGTTCAGTTGTATCTCCGCAGCTAATATTCTAGCAAGCGGTTGCAAATGTAGGCATCTATCAGAAAAAAGGCAACATTTGTAAGTGTTTGGATTTGTCCGTAGCTTTCTTTTGGTCTCCACCAATCCCTGAGAAAACAAAACATTTAAACTGCTAGATAAATGTCTTATTTATCACCAATTGGTCACTTTGTCTGCAATTAAAAAAAACAAAACAATGAGCTAAAAAGAGGCCAAAAAGCCAAAAGAGTTGAGTAAAAAAATATTTCTACACCAATAGCACCTTGAACGAACCAAGACGAATTGTTGGGCAAAGTTAGCTCATGCTAAGCTAATTGAGCATTTAGCTTCTTAACTGTCAAATATTTAACTAGAGGTAGTTAGGAGTGAAAGAGGGGGAACACCAAACTGAAGTCTGTCAAGAGACCAGACACAACTTTAATCACTGCTAATGTTGCTAGTGCTACATGTTTACTGGATGGGTAAATCAGCAAATGTTTGCATGCTGACAATGTTGTAGGAGCTTATTCAATTGCCTCCAAGTAGCCAATTTCTCTTGGTGGAGCTTTAACAAAAACCAAAGACTGTATATAAGAAGTGAACCTAGTCTCCATGACTTCACCCATTGGTTTGTTTGCTACGGATTTGAAGATTCTAATTTGGCATTTTGGCCATTGCCATCTTACTGCTTTATTCTCAATGTAACTCTTAACCTGTTAAGCACCGAGCCTGTTTTTCATGTTTCAGGCTCGAAAATGACATGCCCAAAACAAATGACTACAACTTAACTTCTAAAAGGGTTATATGAATAATTTCTTTTATCAAAGCAAGGTTACATCTGTGAGTTGGATGTAGAAGTGTCAGAATCAATATAAATGTTTTTTATTTTAAAGAAAATTCAGATTTTACATAGTAAAAAACTGTAAATTATAGTGTCCGTCCAAAAATTATTTTTTACAGATAGTGAAAACTACCCTTGGATGATGGGTTAGTAGACTAAAAGCTTTAGGAATCCAAAGTACAACATATAATAAGTACCCTGTATCAAGATTGATGCAAAACAAGTGAAATTTGACCTTTTTAGAGAGATTTAGCCAAAAACCCCCACTTCTGGGGTCATTTGGGTGGATTTGACCTATCTCTGGCCCCCCTTGCTCGATTTGGATCGTTGACACACCTTTCTGACCGTTAGAGCCAATAGAATCGAAGGGGGAGGCCCACACACACACTCATTGTAAAGAGAAAAGGTGGGGGCTGCGCGTCTAGAAATGAAACTAGATTTGCAGATTTTCTCCTTCTGGAGTTTGGAAACTAAAAAGCAGTTTTATTGCTTATGGATTATCAGAAATAATTTCAAAGAGGCACAGACACATAGGATGAACCTATGGATTAACTGCAGTATCGTTTTTTTATCGTTTGAATGCCATTGAAGACCAGTTTTGACCAAGGTAAGCCATGTTAGCGTTTCTAGCTACTTAGCTCCACATGTTATGATGTACGCTTTCGTTTATAGCGTCACGAATGTTTATCACTGAGTGTTGAGGAGGGCACCACTAGATTCAGTGTCTCCAGGACACCAAAAACGAGTGGTTGGTTGTGCATCTAGGATAAGTAATAAGGGAGTTATGAGTGAGTTTAAGTGCCGTTTTAGGTTACATTTTTTCGCTCGTGGCTAATTCAGAGGCTGAGTGAATTAAAAAGATCAGTTAGCTGAGTTTCTTCCCGTTACATGGATATAACACATTCATAGTTTTATTCAATATTAAGATTCCTTAGACGTTGTTTCCTGCAAATGACGCGTTTATCCGCCCGGTACCGGGCGGATGGTGCGTAACAGGTTAATGGGACAATTATTTACAAATGAACATCATGCTTCTTTGAAAAAGTCTTAAGACCAGCAAATTACGATATATTTGCGTTCACACCAAAAAGCCCCAGGAACTAAATTAGTTAATCAGAACCATTTTTACCCCGTTTTCAGTCCCTGCTAGAGAGCAGGGACTTTCGTGGGAGAAAAAAGTTCATACGTCTGATTGGCTGTGCGGAATGCAAACCACGCCCCGTGAATCTCTAGAATTTGTTTTGAAGGCCGCCATTGTATTTGCTCGCATTAAGCTCAGTACAGCGCACCAACGAGTAGATTACTTTGTGAAAGCAGTTATTATGGCAACACTAAATAAATCATCGGAGCGGTGGAGTGATGAGGATGTATCGGCGCTTCTGGCGATTTACTCGGAGGACGCGAAGCGCCGCATTCAGAAGCTTCTACTAGTGATGTGTCGGTCGTGAACGAGCCGATTCTTTTGAACGGCTCTTTGGTACGAACGATGGGGAACCGAGTCGTACTTGGTGAGGGCCGTTCTTTTTATTGTTCAATCGTTGGTCCGCACTCACTGCCTGCCAATATAAACTCGCCACTAAAAAGCTTGATTTTGTTCCCCACACGTATTTTGCGAAGACCCGCCCTTACTCTGATTGGTAGGTTTCAGCTCGAGGAGTGAGATGGGGTGGGTCTTAACGGAATACGCGAGAGAGAAGTCATAACAACTGGTACTGGACAGGTAGACGACGTGTTTTTCGGATGGAAAATGAGCCAAACGCGAAAATGCAGCAGCATTTGGATGCACTTCAACCAAAACCCAGGCAGTGATAAAGCGTACCATTTGTAAAGGCAAAATATCCTTTAATTAAAGCAGGGTCAACAAATAATCTCCATCGCCACTTAAAAACACAGTATCTAATATTAAGAGTTGCGTGAATTTCATTCAAGGCAATGCAACTTTATTGACTTAACACATACAGAGGGTACATTCACAGTAGTACATTCACTGACATGAATGACATGCATATGGCGCCACCTTGTGTCATGTTTACAATGCAGATTATTTACATTAGGTCTGGCAATACAGTCAATCATTATCCTGGTGATTATTTCGCAGATAAACCTAGTAACCCCGCCCCCTTTTAAAAAAACGGCTCTTTTGAACGGCTCTTTTGAACGGCTCTTTGAAAGGAAGGGAGCCATAAGATCCGGCTCCCTTCAAAGAGCCATAATTCCCATCACTAGCTTCTACTGAATGCAGTTTCTGTGGCTCAGCAAAGTTAGCAGACCTGGCAAAGTCATGTCGGGACAACGACGAACTAAGGTAAAATAAAATACATGCACTGCACTGTTTTAATCTGCACAATACTGGTCTCAGATGTACTTTTATTTGCTCAGTAGATCGAGCTAGCCATGCTAGAACTGGCTATCATAGGTCCAAGCTGGCTAACAACATCTAGCTAGCTAGCTATTCTCAGCCGTGCCCGCTATGAACACGTTTGACTTGTGAATAAGTGTGCAATGTTCTGTAATTTGCTTCACTAACTCATGGCACTAATCGTGTGTTTCAGGCGAGGTGTTTCTCTCTGGATTGGAAACTAGTTAGCTTTTCCCTCCGGGATAAAACGATAATATAACGTTAGCAATTAGCATGCTAGCTGGACATAATGCTACCTCTAACAATACATTGTAGTTGCAATAATTTCATGTGTCATTTGCAACATTAATTCTACATGTTAATGGTAATAGCTTAAACAGTTGATTACCTGCATGCCACAAAGACTGATGTTCTAATATTTTGCACATTTAAGTAAAAATGTAATTGAAATTCAATGTATTATTCCTTTTTTGTATTGATTGTTATAATTGTACTCAGCCATGTTATGTTAGATGTCAATCCACTTACACTGTAACTACTCTGGCCTTGAAAGAAGGTTACGCATCTAACTGATGTCCACTAATCCCTATAAAACAAAGTTCAAGCATACATTAAGCACAAAACAATAAATAAGGGCACTTTGATATTTATTTTTTATTTGATATTATTTGATCCTATCTTATCTTCTACTTTACACCTGCATTTTGTACACTGTCCCTGCCTGCACCATGTCCAATGTTGTCTCTGTTGACAACCTACTAGGTGATTAAACTGATCTTGTATCTTGCATATTTCTCCTTAGGAAAGCGGGCACGGGATGACAGCTTCCTTGACACCATCATGGCGATGGACCGCCGTGCCATGGTCAGCAAGGAGAATGAGGACCTGCGTGCCAAGGAGAGGCACGACGAACGGCTGCTGCATTCACACAAGGCCCAGGAATCGGACGACCAGCTGCTCATGGTGATGCCGCGCCATGCTGACTCGGCGGCGCGCCAGGTGGAGGTGTCGGCACGCCAGGTGGAGCAACAAAATACAAAAAGGCTAGGCTTCTGGCAGTGCAAAGCGAGCTGATTAAATCCAACAGGCCTTCAATAAAAAAATTAAGAAAAACTTGTCGTCGTTGTTAAACTGTACAATGACTTGTTGGGAGGCGTGTGGTGCAGTGGTCTGGTGCGTTAGTGTTCGGATCAGGGGAGCACAGGTTCAAACCCCACTGCAGTCAGCATGTCGTTGTGTCCCTGGGCAAGACACTTCACCCCAAATTGCCTACACCTGGGACAGTTAATTTTGTATTATTGTGATTATATATATGCCACTGTTATTAATACTGACACTTCACTTTGCACTAAGGTGTGTCTGCTGCTGAGCCTACCTATTGTTATTATATTGTTATTATATATATATATGTTTTGATACTGCTGACACTTTATTTGATATTGAAAATGTTAACTTCTATTTACATGCATACGACACACCTGGGACAGCGTGATGCTGTTATTGATATTGTCTTGAGTGTGCAATAAAAGAGAACCTACATGGCGATTAAACAGAGCCTGTATCTTAAATTTTTCATTACATTTCTTGCTTATTTCTCCTCTGACACTTTATCTTTACAGTGACCTGTGTAGCATCCTATACATCACATGTAAGTGATTATTCTGATACCATCATGTTTCATCGGTTATAAACTGGCGAAGCTTTATTTATTGTGGCTTTCAAAAAGATAATTTCATTGTATTTCAAAATGGCGTCCACAAGCACTATTTATTTATAGAAAGAGAAATGGTTAAGTTTGTTATTACCAGTGTTGTGATTTCAATATTTTTTATTAATTATAGTAAGGGAACATCTTAGGAGTTAGTGTAGTGAGTTTCAGAGCAGTGTAATTATTATTATTATTTGACCTAAAACTAAATGTTTTTATGAACATGACATGGGGATTTGCTAACTTTTGATTTCCCCCATTTTACACGACACAAATGGAGGCCACTATGGGCCAAAACTAACACGTAGGTTTCTGTAGGGTTCATGGCAGACGGATGCAGTTGCTCTCAGGAGGATATATAATAAAGGTGTGTTAGCTGCTGAGCCTATTTAGTGTGCATACGACACACCTGGCACAGTTTATTCATTTCACACGTAGCATAGCGCGTGCATGTCGTCGTCCAATCCTTTTGTTAATCCTTCTTAACCGCCTTCGCTTCCGAATCAGCATTGCTATTGCATTTGACTGGTCGACGATCTGTATTTGTGTTTGCTTAAATAACTCAGACGAAGCTCATGTCTAAGGTCGGAAGGTAAACAGACGCCTCATATACAGCAGGTGGGCGCGGCAGTATACGCGGGAGGTTTTTCTTCTTCTTTTTCTCTCGGTTTTTTGGCGGATTGCAACTTTAAGGTGCATACCGCCACCTACTGTACTCGCCGTGAAGTTGTTTGCAGCCTGCCAGTAAACCCAAAGCAGAAGAAGAAGAAGTGACGTCAGCGGTTCATTTGCCTAATCCACCCCCAGGAACTCATTTTGGTGTGAACGCGATCTGCTTTAGTTCATCAGAACTAAAAGAGCTCTCATGAACTAAAGTTCTCATGAACTATTGTGGGAAAAGTACTTTGTGTGAACGCGCCTATAGAGGATTATTTCTGAAACAGTATGGAGCTCAAATGCTTTTTCTCTTGCGGGTTTACTACAAGGTGAGTACCTTTTTATATCCGTCTTTTTTACACATACTCTCTCCAGTACAGTGTTAGCTCTGAGTGTTAGTGATGCTTGCTAATGTGAACACAGACCATATTACTTCCAAAACACGTCACGCATTGTTCCTGATACAGCACGTTTCTGATAGGGCCGTGGGCGTAAAGCCAGCCCACATTTTACTTAATGTTGTCAAGACCGCAGCAAATCTGGATCAGCTCCATTGTATGCCCGTTTTTAGAGATGTGGGTACGGAGGAAAAGAGAGAGGGTTTTATTTTATGACACTTTTGGTGCTTTTCCACTGCAGCACAGCACGGTTTAAGTTTTTTTTAACTTTTCCACTAGGGGTAGTTCCGGCTCAGGGCTACTTTTTCACCTTTTTTCTGGCCCTCCAAAATTGAGGTTCTTACCGGGCCAACAACCGGGCTGAATATGCTAAACTACAGTGGCGAGCCGTGAGCTTTATACCTAGGCCCTCTGACCCCCACCAATTCCCTCGAAAAAAAGAAAAAAAAAGAGTTATTACGTCACAGCGTATACTTCAGCGGAATATCAAAACAACGGCCCAGGGTAGGGATGCATATCGTTGACTTTTTTACGATACCGATACCGATACCGATACCACTGAACGATACCGATACTCAACCGATACATATCGTGATACTTTCATGTTGCATAAGGGAAACATTTTATCACCCCGCAATTACTCCCATGAAGCGCTTTATTATATAGTTAACATGTCAAATGAATATTAAATTCAATTGTGGGACTTGGACCTTTTAGTACTGAACAAACAATGAAAAACACATTATCTATGAAGAAAACTGATTCTGCAATATCATTTATAACAACCATCAGGCGTGAATAGTACATCTTGTCAATGAAAAAAAAAAATAGCACCAGTGTAATTAATATTCAATCTGAGATTCGACTGACCAGAGAACACATAAAGGATCATGAGATCTCGGCATTGCACATAAAACAAATAGCATCCTTAAAATCAACATTTGCCTGATGAAAGAAAACAAATCCCATCACAGTTCAGTTTTGTGCATTCATCTTCAAGAAGATGAGCATATCTGCTCTCTCTGGATCCAAACGGGCCCTTTCACAGCGTAGGATATCACCTGCTAAACTGAACACTCTCGCTTGGCACGCTGCTTCCCTGAACACAAAGGTACTTGGTTGCCATACGAGACAGCATTGGTTGGAGATTGGATGTGTTGCCACCTTTCCCATAAATAAACTTCTTGCAGTGGTTACAGACCCCACCATTCAGACTGGCAGTGGTTACAGACCCCACCATTCAGACTGGCAGTGGTTACAGACCCCACCATTCAGACTGGCAGTCATATGCAGCCACACTTTAGATTTTCAAAAGTGACTTGGTTGCGGAGTTTCACTGCGAAATTGACATCGTAATTCCGACGGTTTGGGCACAAGTTTAAGGATATTATGCATCACTTTTATAAAAAAAATAAATAAAAAAAAAAAAAAAAAAAAAAAAAAAAAAAGTATCGAAAACCGGATCTGATTTCGGTACGGTATACCGTAGCCACCAGTAACCGGTATTTCGGTAATACCGGGAACCGGTATGCATCCCTAGCCCAGGGTGCAAAACGCATCAATGACAGCGACCCTCTACCACACAAAACAACACCTGGGAACCCCATTTGTGTTCTTTGACATTGAAAATGATATTGCATTGTGTTTGTTACTTTCGTTGCAGTTGTATGTCTTAAGTGTAATTTGGCATGCTTTTATTTTGAAGGCGAGTTCACGCTGTTGACAGGAAGTTGTTGTTGCTATGGAAACAAGAAAAGTTTCACAGCGGGCGGAACTTGTCATAAAGTCCGCGATAATAAAACCCACCCATTTAGAGGGAAGATATGATTGGTCAATTGCACTGTCATTTGACATTACTCTCTCGTTCAGTTACTATAGCGGGCCCTCTGTGAATCGCAGAGAGGGCCAGACGAGCTTCTTTCATGTAACCCTTCACATTCAACAGAGACTGAACAGGCAGATTCGAAGGATTTATTTCTTTGGAAATGTTATTTTAAATACAATTAAATCAAGTTTTTTTTCGGTAAAACTAATGAAAAATATAACAAAAATAATATTAAAAAAATATATATTTAAAAAAATATATTATTTTTTTAAATGTTTTTAAATATTATTTTTTAGAATATCTTAGGCCCTCACAGAGGGCCTAGAGGGCCCTGACGGCTCGCCACTGCTAAACTAGTGACGTAAACTCTCGACTGCTGAATGGTCAGAGAGAATCGCTGGCAAGGGGGCTACAACTACAACAAAATGAACATATGTTACCGTGATTTATTTGTAATACACGTTTCAAAATGATGCAGAGGTAACAACATACTGATACCGGTCTGCAGACAAGACGGCAGTTGAAAAACCTTTTAAAATGCGTGTTTTCTGAATGGAAATCGGATCGAACAGGCTAAGCTAACGTTGTATATGCTCCGTCCACACTCAACGGCCTACAGACATAAATAAACCAGCGACTGTATTCGCCATGACACAGACAGTCTCCCCGTTTGTACTTGTATAACTTTTGTCTAGTTTCTGAACAGATATGAGGAGCTGTGAGCTCTGAGTGCTAACAGCTAACGGCTGATGTTATGGTTTTGTGGTTCGCATTGAAGATGACGTCACGGCAGTTTTACGCAGCGTCGCTCCGCCCGCCGAACAGCCGATCGCCCCGCCTGCACTGCGTTACTATAGTTACTACCCCAGTTCCTAAACTGTAATATAAGCGCAGCATAAAGTGAGCCTGGCCTACCAAGGCCTAACCATACCGTACTAAGCCGTGCTAGGTCCTGCAGTGGAAAAGCGCCATTTGTGAGTCTCCTTACACACCGGGGACACATATTTATGTATAAAAGACATAAAAAAGTGCATTTTGCATAATAGGTAACCTTTAAGTGATAAGTATGGTCATTTTCTCATAGACTTCTAAACAATCCAGGCCTCTATGAGTTCCATTTATATTTTTTGTTTACTGATTAAATGTTTTTACTACATTCTGTTGTTTCACCTATTATTTCACCACCTTCTCCCTTCTGATGTATTTTTTATACTTCCAAGCGAACACATTCTTGATTGTTATAATAATCTTGTGTGTGTTTGTGTGCATGTGTGTGTAATTTTGCTACTTACTAGGAGCTAATCTCCAGTCGTACGGTGCTCCTCGGACTGTCTCATTCCGCGTGTAGCCCACGTTGACCAAATGTTGCACCATAGTGTGAAAATAACCTGCAAAACCCAGAAGCAGCACCCTCAGTGAATGCCAGATGCCAAATCAACTTGCCATCACTTGGTAAAAAGCAGCTGAGCTTCAAAGATATTTGATTAGGTACTGTAGGAATTAAGCACAATTGCTTGGTTACATTAATTTCATTTCATCTTTAGACAAACCCCAAACCAAGCATTAAATGTTTCTTACCGGCCAGTCTATTGTAGTCGACAAACTCAATGGGATATGTTTGCCCAAATCCTGGCACCTGCACCTGCACCCCTGGTGAGTTGGAAGACCGCCGAGTCGTCTTGTTGTAAACAAGTCTGGGGCACAAAAATGGACATGGAGAATTATGAAAGTGAACTTGGGCAGAAACATTCTCAAATGTGACTTTAATATCAGACAGGACAATTATACTGGGCAATATTTTAGCTCTTTTCAGATATTATTACAACCATAGTACAACCATAAAAAGAAAACGTAACTAGCTGTAACACCCAGCCACCTCGCGGTGAGCAAGCTTAAATGCAATTGCCATAGGTAAATAGCTAGCGATAGGCTTTTAACCAACTACATTACATACATACACGTCACCCCTGCTGAGCTAGTATGGCTAACATTTGGCATGATGACATTTAGTAATCTAATTTAGTCACTTGTTAGCAACTGCCGTTTTCATGACACAAAGAACATTTGGACAAGCAGAGTATTTGCTGACGTACTTTTTGTCGTAGAACAAAACGTAAAAATATCCTAAATTAACCACAGACCTTATTTCAGGTATCTAACCAATATAAACATGAAGAAGGTTGACTTCCAGATGAGGGGAAATGTTAACTCATTTTCAAGCTTTAGGACTTATTTCTGCACCACTCTATTATATCATTAAGATGCTAAAAGCTAATACATGATACAGAAGAGAATAGGCATTAAAAGGCAGTCAGTGTTACCTAATGTTATCAATCCAGCAGTCTACACCTACTGGCATGAACATGTTGAGGTCAATCCACAGGGGGAACCAGTGCTCAGTCTTCTTGTAGCACATCCAGTGGACCAGCGTCGGCTTGTCTATCTTTGCTTCCAGACGGTTCCCCAAATTCCCTGGCACTGGACACACATAAACACAAATACACATGTTATATCAGTGAATCTTAATTCAAGCGAAGCACTGTAGGGTAATTCACCACTATGCTTTTTTTCTGTTGTTTTACCTTTACACTTACACAGTAACAAGGTCAATGGGTTACTTTTGTAACGTTAAGTGTTGAGAGTTCTGTTTTCCAAAATGTTTCTTGTTCAGCTTTTAGCTGTAAAATAAACAACAACTACTCTGTATAGTCAAAGATAGAAGTTGTTCTTCTCTGTTTTCTCAAAAATGTTGAGGTGCCATACATTTCTCTTATTTTTTGTGTAATTTTTCTGTTAAGAAGAAAAAGTAGTAGAAGTCAATTCCAGGAGCACCAAAAGTTCTTAACTGTCCAAATATGTTCATACCAATGTGTTTGGAATCACCATGAACTTGGGGTGCATGTCCAATTGTTTTATTAAAAGCATTTGTAATGCATAGGCCGGGCCAATATATTATATTGCATTTTTTTTGGCGATCTTGAAGGAGGACTTTTGGTATTTATATTGCAACAAGCTGTTGCAAGTCAACTTTGCCCTAGTTTAAAGGTGGGGTAGGTAAGTTTGAGAAACCGGCTCGAGATACACTTTTTGTTATATTCCATGGAATGCTCTTAACATCCCGATAGCAATGAATATCTTAAAGGTAGGGTAGGTAAGTTTGAGAAACCGGTGCTTTGACAAAAAATCCATAAAAAAATGTCATCTGTGGAAGCCGTAGTACTGTAAAAAGCACGACCAATCATTTTAGCTGGCCCGGCTAAATTAACTGGATGGCCTACCTGCCTGTCAGCCTTCCATCTGTGCACAAACTTATCTCGTGCCCTCATTGGTCGTGTGCGCGTTCGTGTATGTTGGAGGAGGGGCTCTGTAAGGAAGTGGCAGATTTGTTCCGGCTGTGTATTTTCAAATTGTAGCGCACTCGAGCTGGTTTCTCCAAAATTCCATATACCACCTTCAAGGGTCACCAGCTGAAAAGGTTGCTGCTGTAGATCCTTGGTCATTGAACTGTCTTTTTTTTCACCTATACTGTAAAATAGAGAATCTGTTATATTTGGAAAGAGCCAAAGTTAAGACTCAAAGTTTGGATCCCACAATATGTTGGGATGGTTAATTAAATATATAGAAAAAATATGTCCAATATTAACTTTGATGCTTTCATAACAGTCCTTCATTTCACAACATAATCTGAAGACCACAGCATCTATACTTCTTTTGAGGAAAGAATATGTAACAGTGGATCTAAAAATAAGTAAAACTGCATATTAAAATGTTTATTTTGACTAAACAGCAGGTTTTCTCTGTGTTTCAACAGTGATTGGCATGGGATTTCTCAACTTTTCCACATGTGGAAACCCTCAAGTCTGGGCTCCTTTGCAGCAGACTGCAGGAATCATGTTTGGTTAACAACCTTTTGACTGCAAACAAAGGGTGGGAAGAGAAAAGTTCTGCAGGGAATCCTAAAATAAACAAAAAATCTAATTCCTAATAATGGTTGCGTAAACAAACCCGACATGTCTTGAATACAAATGAGTTTAATTTCTGATATATTATATATTTATACAGTCAATGCATTATTTTATTGTCTTTTGACGTCAGAGCGTCTGCGCTATTGGGTTATTTGGTAGCAATTTGAAGGTCAGTAGTTAATGACACATACAATCAGTCTTAGTTAGAATTCAAACATTGGTACCCTTCACGGTAACACTTTTTGTTAGTGCGATAGACAATAAGACATGTTTAAAGTGTTTGTTGATTGTTATGTGTGTACCTGCCCAGATGGAAATTAGCCTTTAGCCATATTCTGTCATATAGCGTATTTTCTCTCTTTGAGATTAAAGTATTGTATGCATTGTCCTTGTTCAATAAAGACTAAGATAAAGAACATGACATATTAAAGTAAAACAAATACATACTATCATCCATCTTATCACAAATATCGACAGGAAAACATGACTTGTCAAAAAGAGCTTTGTTGAACTTTTATCATTTCCAGCCCTATATAATTGTGCGAGAAAATTGTCCTGAACCTGAATGAAGAGCAGAAGTCAGCAAAATGTCAGTTCTGATTGTAACACCCTTATCTTTTACTGAATTATTTCCAATATTACTTTGTAACTCTTGAATTCTTCCAGAAGGATAACAATATCTGCTGGACTGAAGGGCGCATAGCAGTATGACTCCATTCTTTAGCCCTTTTTTAAGCTTTATAAAACGATTCCAAACAAGTCCAATTTTTTCTCAAATTCATAGCTTATTAGCTGGTTTTTGGTTTGATCTACTGTAAGCCAAAGTCAAAGTCTCTCTTTCTAAAACTGGCCCCTTTCAGATCACATGATGAAAACGACCAAAGACACAGGAGCAGGTCTAGACATGTTATCTACTTATTATCTACTGTATGTACTTGGGGCAGCTTTACTCTATCTGGGTTGCTGACCTTGCTTTTTTAGCATCATCATGTTTACAAAATTGAATGGAGACCCTAGCTGTGTATCTTTCTTTGTGTATTTGTCAAGCTAAATTTACTAATCTAATGTCCGATGGCTTTTTAAGCTAAGACGTCTAACCAAGAAGCCTTTCTAATACTTTACAGGATAAAATATAATTAAAACCTTAGTGTTACAAATGAAAAACATGACCCAGACAGATAACAGTGGGGTAGTGTGATTAACACAGCAGGGCTCCTAAAGTGATGTGATTAAATGAGGTAAAGAGTCGGTATGAAAATAGAAGGAATCCAGATTTAAAGGTCAGAGAGGAGGGAAAATGAAGAAGGAAATACTGACCTAAAATTGAAAGAGGGCCAAATTCATGGGGTGTTTCTCAATCGCGAGTACGCTTGCTTGGTAGCACATGTCTGCCGAGCATCTTGCTTCAGAAGCGAGTCAAGAATACTTCCTGGCATTCGGAAAACGAAGTGTGGAACACGCTAGCAAGTGTGCAGGTGTGCGTCATATGAGAGGCCCCGCCTTACATCTTCCGCCACAGATTTGGGGAAATTGGTCCGTGCGCAAAGCATTGTGGGGATTTTAAGACCGCAAAGTCTACTCATGTGCAGACTCGATATTTCTCCAAACGGAGTACGCCGGGCTCGGTAGATTTCCAAGTATGCTGGAGATTGGAACAGTACTTCGGCGGCACTCGATGACGTAGTATGCTTGAAATAGTGGCTCTGAAGCAGCTTTACTCGCGATTGAGAAACACCCATGGTCTTCACAAGGCCAGAGAAGTAAAACCCTACAGAGCATGACCACCAGATCAAACTTTGGCCCTTTGAGGCTGAAAAGACTTAGTATGACCTATAAGCAGGAGACAAACAGACATGTTGTCTCTATTCCATGCTAAGGCTATCAGGGGGCGTTTGTAAATTAAATACATTGAAAAAAAATCTTGAACCTACTTTGACATTGTTATAATTTTCCATTAAACATCTTCATGTCATTACTACATATATAATATCTTTTATATTGAATTATACATGTGATAATAATATTGGCAAAAAACGTTTTCAAAAATGAAACTTAACAATAAAAACAACGTTAAATATATAGTTTTTTTAAGGATTCAGCAATGAGTGAAATGACTTTCCAATTAGTCTGACAGAAAGGCCATCAACATAGTTATTATCTTTTTACTTAATATTATTCGTCCATGTGATATTTCCCTGACTCTTTCGATATCATGCATTTCTACTCCACCCCCTAAATTTGTATTATTTCCTTTTTGAGAATAAAATAAAAAAGCAGGTCACATACAGTAAACACAAGGTCAAATGTACAGAGTACATTATACAGCATCACTGATAGCCTAGACATCAATACACAGACAGTGAGTTAGAGAGAGATAAAGCTGGTATTAACCCCTTGTTTCTTCCACTATCTGAAGAAGAAGAAAAGGGAGGCGACATACTTTCAGTTTGTGCAATGTTTACACGTTTCTATAATTGAATACTTGGTCAAAAGTTTCATCATTTGCCCAGTTATTCAGAAATATGCTAGCAAACACAGAACTAAGGGTTCAAGGTTCAAGGTTCATTATTGTCAAACTAACATAGCTACAGAGTAATTATGTTGTTGAAAATCTTAGGTCACAGGCTTCTCCAACAATGCAACACAATAATACAGCTAAGCAGACAATTTTAAAACAATATTAAAACAATATTAAAATATACTATATTAAAAGTAATACAAAAAGAAAAATAGTTTTAAAAAAAGTGAGAAAAAAAAAAAAGTGGAATAGTGCAGTACGAGTCTATATACTAGTTATTGGAATGATATATTAGATAATAGATAAATAATTACTAAGTAGCAGATGAATGTTATGAAATTGTTTCAGCAGTTCAGTTGTTTAACAGTCTTATTGCCTGCGGGATGAAGCTGTCTCTGAATCTGGTGGTTTTTGTCCTGATGCTGCGGTAACGTCTGCCAGACGGCAGCAGACTGAACAGTTTGTGGCTGGGGTGATGGGGGTCTTTTATATAATCCTGAGGGATTTCTTCCTGAGCCGCTGGGAGTAAAGGTCCTCCATGGATGGCAGCTCCATCCTGGTGATTTTCTCTGCAGTTTTCACCACCCTCTGTAAAGCCTTACGATTAAGGGCGGTGCAGCTGCCGTACCAGGCCGTGATGCAGCCAGTCAGGATCCTCTCTATGGTGCACCTGAAGAAGTTGCAGAGTATCCTGGAATCCAGTTTGAACCTCCTCAGCCTGCGGAGGAAGAAGAGCCGCTGTCGAGCTTTCTTGGTGATGGTGGTGGTGTGAAGAGTCCATGTCAGGTCCTCAGTGATGTGGACCCCAAGGAACCTGAAGCTGCTGACTCTCTCCACCGTAGTCCCATTGATGGCGATGGGGGCGTGTCCCTCTCTCTGCTGCTTCCTGTAATCCACAATCAGCTCCTTTGTTTTGCTGACGTTGAGATGGAGGTTGTTATCCTGGCACCAAGATGTCAGGTTTTCGACCTCCTCTATGTACGCCGTCTCGTCGC